CAATCAGCAATTCAAAGTTCAGAAAGCAGAAAGAATTAGGAAAGATGTAGGAAAAGAAACAGGAAACCAGGGAGGATGTGGGATGAGTGATATTACATTGTAGGGATTGCAATCAATGACATGCAACAAAATGTGTATGAATTGTTGAGTGGAAAACTGATTTTCTCTGTAAACCTCCACCTAATCACAATAATTTTTTTTAAAGGTGAGAATGTAAGAGGGGAGGAAAAGTAGATTAATGTTCTTTTTGGAACAATGAGAACAGAAATAATGAGAATGTTCACACTTTATGAAAAAAATAACCAATGTCACCAAGCAACTTGTATAGAAATTGTTGAATAAGAACAGGAATTTCTGTGTAAACCTTTACAATAAAATACTGGAAAAAAAAAAAAAAAAAAAGGCCTATATATGGCCTGTGGATGCCTTCAGTTGCAAGAAACAAAAACAACCTAATCTAACTAATGAAGATGAAGGAAGAGGAGGAAGAGAGTCAGAGAGAGAAGAGAAAATGTTGTAGGGGTAGTTATTGTAATAGTAGCAGTATGTGTGCAGGGGGTGTTGGAGTGAATTTGTTATAAGGAACTTAGAGCATGTCATCCACCACCTATCTGTCAGTTGGTTGTACTGGGGTGGCTTGGGTTCTGCTGCAATGCTGGAAGCTATGCCACTGGTATTTCAAATACCAGCAGGGTCATCCATGGAAGGCAGGTTTCATGGAGCTTCCAGAGTAAGACAAACTAAGAAGAAAGTCCTGGTGATCTACTTCTGAAAATTGTTATTGTTGTTAGGTGCCATTGAATCAGTTCCAACTCACAGCAACCCTATTTATGTACAACAGAATGAAACAATACCTGATCCTGTGCCATCCTCACAATTGTTGCTATGCCTTAGCCCATCACTGCAGCCACTGTGTCAATCCATCTCATTGAGGGTCTTCCCCTTTTGCACTGACCCTCTACTTTACCAAGCATGATATCCTTCCACGGGACAACATAACCAAAGTATAAGAGGCAAAATCTGGCCATTCTCACTTCTAAAGAGCATTCCTTGTGAATAGATTTTGTTCATTCTTCTGGTAGTGCGTGGTATTCACCAACACCACAATTTAAATGCATCAATTCTTCTGTGGTATACTTTATCCATTATGCATCTTGCATATGCATATGAGGAAACTGAAAATACCATGGCTTGGGTCAGGTGCACTTTATTCTTCAAAGTGAACTCTTTGCTCTTTAACTTTAAAGAGGTCTTTTGTAGCAGATTTGCCCAATGCAATACATCATTTGATTTTTTGACTGCTGTCTCCAGCAGTTCTTGATTCTGGATTCAAATAAAATGAAATCAATAACAACTTCAATCTTTTCTCCACTTATCATAATATTGCTTACTGGTCCAGATGTGAGGATTTTTGTCTTTATGTAGAGGTATAATCCATACTGTAGACTGTAGTCTTTGATCTACAGCAGTAAGTGCTTCAAATTTTCTTCACTTTCAGCAAGCATATCACAGGTTGTTAATGAGCCTTCTGCCAATCCCAATGTTGCATTCTTCTTCACGTAGTCCAGCTTCTCGGACTACTTGCTCAGTATAAAGATCTAATAAGTATGGTGAAAGGATACGACCCTGACACACACCTTTCCTGATTTTAAAACCTGTGCTATCCCTTGCTCTGGTCAAACGACTGCCTCTTAGTCTATGTACAGGTTCCTCATAAGCACAATTAAGTGTTCCAGAATTTCCATTCTTTACAATGCTATCCATAATTTGTTATGATTGACAAAGTCAAAAGCCATTTCATAGATAATAAAATGCAGGTAAACATCTTTCTGGTATTTGCTTTGAGCCAAGATTCATGACATTAGCAATAATATCCCTCATTCCACATCCTCTTCTGAATCCAGCTTGAATTTCTGGCAGTTCCCTGTTGATGTACTGCTGCAACTGTTTTTGAATTATCTTCAGCAAAATTTTACTTGTGTGTGGTATTAATGATATGATTCAATAATTTCCACACTCTGTTGGATCATCTTTCTTTGGAATGGGCACACACGCACAAAAAAATATAGCTCTCTTCCAGTTAGTTGGCCAAATTTCTCAGCTTAGATGAGTGAGTTTTTCCAGCATAGTGTCTATTTGGTGAAACACCTCAATAGGCATTCTGTCAATTCCTGGCTCCTTGTTTTGGCCATTTCTTTCAGTACAGCTTAGACTTCTTCCTTCCATACCATCAATTCTTGATCATATGCTCCCTCTTGAAATGGCTGAACATTGACCAATCTTTTTGGTACAGTGACTATGCAGTCCTTCCATCTTCTTTTGAGGTGTCTTGTGTCATTCAATATTTGCCCATGTTGTTGTTGTTATGTGCCGTTGAGTCAGACCCGACTCATAACGACCCCTCCTTGGGTTTCCAAGGCAGTATCACTACGGAAGTAGATTGCCCCATCTTCCTTCCGAGGAGTGGCTGGTGGGTTTGAACCTCCAGGCTTCTGGTTAGCAGCCAAGTGCCTTTAGCCACTATGCTACCAGAGCTCCCAAGAGACAGCCCAGCTACCTGGTGGGGGGCTGGTGGGTTTGAACCACCAGCCTTGGGTGTGGCAGCTGACTGCCCGAGGCCCTGAGGCCATCCCCCGGGGGCCATTCGCCCATAGAATCCTTCAATATTGCAATTTAAGGCTTCAGTTTTTTTCCAGTTATTTTAGCTTAAGAAATGCTGACCAAGTTCTTCCTTTTTAATTTTCCACCTCCAGGTCTTTGTACATTTCATTGTACTATGTTACTTTGTCTTCTTGAGCTGCCCTTTAAAATCTGTTCAGTTCTTGCATTCACTTTAGATACTCTCCATTCAAAAGCAAGTTTCAGAGTCTCTTCTGATATCTTGTCTTTTTAATGACCTTTTGCTTTCTTCAAGTATGATGTCCTTGATGTTATCCCACATCTCATCAGGTCCTTAGTCATTTGTGTTCAATGCATCAAATCTATTATTCAGATGATGTCTAAATTCAGATGGGATATACTCAGGGTCATATTTTGGCTCTCATGGATTTTTAAAAATTTTTCTTCAGCTTCAACTTAAACTTGCCTTTGAGCAACTGATGGTCTGTTCCACACATAAGCCTGGAATTATTCTGACTGCTGATATTGAGCTTCTTCACCATCTCTTTCCACAGATGTAGTCAATTTGATTCTTGTATATTCCAACTGGTGAGATCCATATTTATAGTCACCATTTATGTTGTTGAAAAAGGGTATTTTCAGTGAATAAGTCATTGGACTTGCAAAATGTTATCATGCAATCGCTGGCATCATTTCTATCATCAGGGCCATATTTTTCAACCACCAATGCTTCTTCTACGTTTCTAACATTTGTGTTCTGATCACCAGTAATCAATATGTCTTGATTGCATGTTTAGTCTATTTCAGAGTGTAAAAGTTGGTAAAAAATCTTCAATCACTGTCCAATTCAAAATGGCCAATACCAGTCAATTTCAGCTCACTAAGGCCTAGGATATCAATCTATATGCATTCCATTTCATTTTTGACAACTTTGTATTTTCCTAGATTAATACTAAATACATTCCATATTGTGATTATTAATTGATGTTTATAGATGTTTCTTCTCATTTTGAGTCATGCCCTATCAGCAAATGAAGGTACAAAGTTTTACTCCTTCCACATCATTAAGATCAACACTACTTTGAGGAAGCAGGTCTTCTCCAGTCATATTTTGAGGGCCTTACAACCTGAGAGGCTCATCTTCCATCACTATGTGAGGCAATGTTTCACTGCTATTCCTAAGATTTTCAATGGCCAATTTTTTCAGAAGTGGACCTGGACACATCCATCTTCCTAGTCTGTCTTAGTCTAGAAGGTCCACTGAAGCCTACCTACCATGGGTCACCCTGCTTTTATTTGAAATTCTGGTGGCATAGCTTCCAACATCACAGCAACACACATACCACCACAATAGGACAAATTGACAGACATGAGGTAGTGGACTAAAGTGGAACTTCTTAATAACATTTCCAAATTTTCATAAAAGAATATGATTGGTTCAGTTTAACCAGTAGACAACAGTATAATGAGGGCAAATCAAGTGGCCAGGTCTCCAGTGGTGGTTTATAAACAAGGCTGCTAGGAACATACTCCTGGGGGTGAAAAGGGACAATTAAGTGATCATGGGATTTGGGAAGAAATCTCAAAAGGTATTCTTTAAAATTCTCTTCCAATGCAATACAAAGTTTAGTCCCTTTGGGTATTGTCAGCATTTATTTTTGGGTTTTTCTGTTTTGGTTTGGTTTGCTTTGAGTCAATAATTGGGAAATTAACCAAAATTCCATATTTTACTTGTTCCTATATGCAAAACAGCACATTACACTAATTCTTTTTTGGAAAGAAGAATTTTGAGGGTGGCAAAAAAAAAAAAAGGAATATAGAAGTTTTGTTTTAACCTTTTCAAACCTAGGTGTGGACCCAAATGTTCGCAAAACACCATGCTTACACCATCCCCAAGGAAAGGACCAATTCTTCCATAAGAATAAGAAAAATGCTTACTTTAAAAGGAAAAAGGATGATTGGGATTATGCCTAAGAAAATAATTTTAGGCTATCTTATAAATGCTTTCTTGCTACAAGTCCTGACACACTTCAAAATATTGTTTCTATCAAATTATACTCCTGACAATTTTTCTTTTCTCAATTTTACTTGTGCCTTCTCCTGAAAAGAATTGCAGTGCTAGTATGAGAGGTTGAATCACAGCTCAGTGTTGCTGGTGGCCCCTCCCCACCTGCCAGGACCTTATTCTAAATGTGGGAAAGGCGATGTGGCAGGAAATCATTATGATCTGGCAGCTACATAGAGCTGGACTCAAAGGCCACGCTGAAATGAGTTGAGGGTATTAGAATCCATTCTGGGGATTTACCTTTATTTGAAATAGCTTCTATTTTCTAATTCCTGAGAGGTCTTAATAGCCTTTGTTTTGCCCCATTTCCCTCCAGGCTTAGCGCAGATATGAATGCTGATGTTGTATGCCACACTCTGGAGTTTTGTAAACAGGACCCTGGCCAACCATTGTGTCATCTTTACCCTCCTCCCAAGGTGAGTGGTTTTTTGCTCTGATGATCAGATTCGCATGGCATGCAAGCTCTTCTGGAAGTGTTGTAAAGGGAGGCTTTACAACTTCACTGGTTTGGTGGTTCAGGGAATGAGAGAAGCAAGATGACATTTTCAATTACACTGCATGAAATGTTATTCCTGCATTTAAACCAAGATCCTTCCCTCCTGCCAAAGAATGTTTTTGCTGTTCAAATATTGTGGACTGTGATCTGGAGCTAGGCTGGAAGTAGCTAGGAAATCTGACTGCAAAGGAGAGATAGAGGTTCAAATTCCTGCTCTAACCACTTAAAAGTCAGGCAAGTTATTTATAGGGTGACCAGCTCATCCCAGTTTGCCCTGGACTTTCATGGTTTTAAGTCCCATGTTCCAGGAAGCCCTTCAGTCCTGGGAAATCCTGAAAAGTTGGTCACCATAGTCTGAGCTTTGTTGTTCTTGCCCCCAAAATAGGTATAACAGTAAAACCTTCTTCATAGGTTTATTGTGGGAAGTACTGTTGTTGTTGTTAGGCACCATCAAGTCAGTTCCAACTCATAGTGGCCCTATGTACAACAGCACGAAATACTGCTCAGTCCTACGCCATCTTTACAGTCATTGTCATGCTTGAGCCCATTGCCACAGCCACCATATCAAACATCTTGTTGAGGGTCTTCCCCTTTTTAACTGACCCTCTCCTTTACCCAGCATGGTGTCCTTCTCCAGGAGTGGTCCTTCTGACAACATGACCGAAGTACAAGACGCAAAATCTGACCATTCTTGTTTCATAGTACAACTGACAGATGAGCGGTGGTTGTAGGAAGCAGGCAAGATAATGGATAACTCAGCAACTGCTACATAAAAAAAAAAAAAAAATTAATGAAAATGGTAGCTACTATGATAATAATTATCAATATCATTATTATTCAGAGATAGTTGTTCAGAATACCTTGTCTGTATTATATCATTCTTGGCAATTTTCAATCGGATTGCAAACCAGAGAAAAGGCTGCAAATGTTGACACAGTTCCCTGCCCACACTTTAGATGAGAATGTAATATTAAATCCAGTTGGGCTTCACAATATTGATTTTCAGAAGCTTCCTGTGGAAAAAAGAAAAAAATATTACTATACTGCCTTTCCTACATGGTAGTTTTTTCATATTACAAAAGAAAAAAAAAAAAGTGCCTATTTTACTTATAATTTCTTTTTTTTTAAAGCATTGAAATAAAGTCATTCTTAAAACTTTGTAGCCTAAACAATAAGCATTGTTTTGCTGACTAACATTATTAAATATAATAAGCCTGTCTCCTTGAACAGGAAGAGAAATACAAATGTTTGAGGAATGCATGTATTTCATGCTTCCTCGCTTTTTGGCTAAATGCCAATTACATTTTCCTTCATTCCACCAGAGAAGCTGTGGGCTCCACTGCTTTCTGAAGGAGTCATGTTAGTTCATTTTAATAAAAATAATAAAATAAAAATAACTCATGTGCTCAAAACACATATGAACATTGTATCATGATTTTCACTATTTGATATGGTAAGTAGAAAACATGTCTGTGCATGAGGGCAAGTGATGTGGGTTTTCGTGATTTCTATATACATTTAAATAGCATCACACTACATATACATTATGATGCACTTGAATGTGCCAGTGATTATGAGGTTGATGCACAACTGGGCAATGCTTTGTTCCATTGTACATAAGGTTCCATGAGTTGGAACTGACTCAACAACAACTATCTATCTATTTATACATTATACCCATAGCTTTGCATAGTCACAAAATGTTCAGTTTTAAACTGCCACATTTAAAATGACATTTTTATATAGTTGTTTGCTTTTACACTCTATAAAGATCATACTAGAAATTTCTGTTTTCCTTATCTTCCCATCACAATTCCCTTTTCATTCCCATCTCTGGGATAATTTGACTATCCTCTTTTGCTATGCAGGAAATTGGAGGGTTTCATTCCAGAAATGGTCAATTTCCAACCTAACCAGGTATTTCAAACTGCTGGAAAGCCTGCACTTCTCTCTGATTGACACTTTTCAAATTCCTTTGGCTGCTGTTCTGGGCCTTCACCTTCACCTCAAATACCTCCACTAGTCTCCATCTCTACTGATGACTCAGAAAAGAGGGGCAGTCAGGGCAGTTTTGCTCTTCTGCCTCCCAGATGTCCTCTAGAAACAATCACTGACAATTTTTGAGCCCTCACAGTGTGCTAGGCGCTGGGCTAAGAAGCTTACCCGCCTCTTTTTCAGTCACTCAAGCAGCCCCATTATGACCTCATTTTTACCACTGAGGAAACTGAAGGTTAAAAATATTCCATAACTTGCTGAAAGTCACTCCACTGAGAAAGACCAGAACTGAGATTCAGATCCATGTCTTTCTGTAACTAGAGGTTTGTCCTTTAACCATTGGGTCAGCACTTCCAAAACTCCTCATAGAGTGTGTCTTCACAAAAATTAACTGAAATCCCACCACCAGAAAATATCAATGTTACAACGGTAGTGAATTTTCCATTGAATTTTTAAAATAAATAATATGATCTTAATAATTTCTTTGAGAGTTGTGATAATATGATACCTACAATTTTATACCCTACTTTCCCCTCTTAACATTACATTTTCAGCATACATTTTTAAACAATACATATCACACCTTGTTTCATTCCCAGGGTGAAATGAAAATAGGAGGAGGATAAAAATGACTCCTACAAAACATGTGTGAATCAGTAACCTTTCCTAAAGATAAAGATGTAGATGTCGAGCATTTACAGCCCCCTAGAAGGCATCATTTTGACCCTTCTGGTCAATACAATCCATAAAGTAACCACTATTCTGAAATCTATCACTGCAGATTCATTACATGAAGTTCTATTCTTGAGTTTCATATAAATGGAATTATACAGTATTTGCCCTTTATGTTCAGCTTCTTTTTTTCTGCGAGAATCATCTGTGGTATTATATGTAGCACTCCTATTGCATCTAGTACTCATATAATCATGTTTTGAGCTCTGGTAGCGTAGTGCCTAAGGCACTTGACTGATAACCAGAAGCCTGGCGGTTCAAACCCACCAGACACTCCTCGGAAGGAAGGTTGGACAATCTACTTCCGTAGTGATACTGTCTCGGAAGTCTAAGGAAGGGCGCTATGAGTCAGGTCCGACTCGACGGCGCTTAACAACAACACTGCTATTGCTTCCTAATTAATCCAACCAAATCTGCCCTTACCCTCTTTCCATAAATTTTCCACATTGAAATCAGAAATAAATTTCTATAGGATAAATATAACCATGTCACCCCTTCTGCCGGGAAAACAATTTCTCCCTCCTTCCTTCAATGTGTTTGACCCCTCCCCATCCTTCAGATCCAGCTTACATGTCTCTTCTTTAGGGAGGCCATCCCTGAGCCCTATATATACCTCTGTTGTCATAGCTCCTATGCTTTCCTCCATTGAATTTACCCTGTTTTAAATGCCTGTCTCTCCCACTAAGTTATCACCTCCAGGATGTGACCCTCATCACCACTGATGGCTAGTGTGGTATCTTATACATAACAAAAAAATATTTGTTGACTGAGTGGGTGAGTGAAAGAAATGCCTCTAGCTTCTCATTTACGTCACTGATATAAATTCTTACTCTCCTTACTTTATGGCCAGACTAATTTTCCTTGTGCCTATGTCTGATCATATTTCTCCTAATTTATGATCTCCTTGTGAGGCATTGGTGCTTCAGTGATAGAGTTCCTACATTCCAACCTGAATACTCGGGTTAGATTTCCCTCCAGTAAACTTCATGCACATGCTCAGCCACCACTCCTCTGCCATTGGAGCCTTGTGTGTTGCCTAGATGCTGAAAAGATTTCAACAGAGCTTCCAGACTAAGACAGATGAGGAAGAAAGGCTTGAAGATCAACTTCAAAAAATCAGCAAAGAAAACCCTATGGATCACAATGGTCCTACCCGCGACTGATCATAGGATAGTGCAGGACAGAGCAGTGTTTCATTCCATTGTGCATAGGGTTGCCATGAGTTAGAGCCAACTCAACAGCAGCTCACCACAGGATGCTCTTCACATTGCCCACATAGTTAAATAAAAATTTTGCTTTGTATTTTTGAGCCCTCTAAAGTTTTTCTTGACTTGCCTTCCACTATTATTTTTGTGCTTCGTGCTACGTTTACACAAGGAGTGATTGAGCTTCCCTTGAGCCCACTCAACTCTGAACATTTGTTCTTAATCATTTCCTCTTCCCAGAATGCTTTCATCAAATTATGCCCATCTTTGAAGCCCATTTCAACTTCCATCTTCTCTGTGAAATAATTTCTAATTTTCTCCTCAAAATGGTGGTGTTGTTAGGTGCTGCCAATTTGGTTCTGACTCACAGTGACTCATTGTACAGAACAAAACTTTACCCAGTCTTGAGCTATCTTCACAATTGTTATTATGCTTAAGCCCATTGTTGCAGCCACAGTGTCGATTCCTTTTGATGTCTTCTTTTTTCACTGACCCTCCACTTTACCAGGCATAATATCCTTCTCCAGGGATTGATCCATCCTGATAATATGTCCAAAGTAAGTGAGATAAAATCCATCCTTGCTATTAAGGACCATTCTGGCTGCACTCTTCCAAGACAGATTTGTTATTCTTCTCACAGCCCATGGCATGTTCAATATTCTTCACCAACCTTGTAACTCAAAGCCATCAATTTTTCTTTTGTCTTCCTTATTCATTCTCTAGATTTTACATGCATATGAGGTGATTGGAAGTACCATGCCTGGGGTCAGGGGTACCTTAGTCCTCAAACTGACATCTTTGCTTTTTAACACTTAAAAAAAGTCTTTTGTAGCATATTTGCCCAATGTGGTGTGTTGTTTGATTTCTTGACTGCTGTTTCCATGGGTGTCAATTGAGAATTCAAGTAAAATGAAATCTTTGACAACTTCAATATTTTCTCCATTTATCATTGTGTTGCTTATTGGTCCAGTTAAAATTATTAACACTC